TTTAAAAAAAAAAAAAAAAGATGGTACTTAATAGACAGTTATGCCAATATTGTTTTTAAGACAGTCTAGGAGAGGAATTTGTCTTGTGTTCCTGGGCCTACCCTTCTCTTCCCTCCAGAGCAGCCCTGCCTTGCCAAGTCAGCACAGGGAGTGGAAAGGAGAAGCAGAGTTTACCTAATTAGTTTGGACCAGGTTTCATAAGCCTGGTCAAATTCTTTTTTAGGCATTTGACCACCTGCCAATTTGCGTGGCTCCAGCAGAGTTAATTCACCGCTTTGGAGAAGTTTATCCAGCTGGCAGAGTTGAGTCTGGGGACTCAAACAGTGACACACGTGCCCCAGGTGATTGCTGTCCTTGTCATCAGTTCACATTATTGCCTGGCCCTGAGATAGGGCACCAAGAAAAGCAACTGCAGTGGCTTGGAATCCCACCTCACTCTTGGGTGGGCCATGGCCCTCAGCGTGCTCTGTCTTGCATGTGGACTTGCAGGCCAGACTCACAGGGCTCCTCTCCATAGTATGTCGGAGGGGTGGGGGTGGCAGTGGATGTAGACACAAGAGTAAGTCATTAGTGTGTGTGTATATATATATGTTTATGAAAGTATAATATATACTCCTTGTAGAAAATTCAGAAAATACAAGCAATTTGAAATTACCTGTGATCCCATTGCTCAAAGATAACCAGTGTTAGCATATAGGTATATTTTCTTTTTTTTTTGACGTGAATATTTTTCTGCCGTTGGAATTATATTGTACCTTTAATTTGGTATTCTGCTTTTTTCACATAACTTTTTTCCCATCTGTTCTAATTCTGAATCTGAAACGATATCCTGGAATATGTTTGTCCGTTCCACGTCGTAAGCTTACTGAGTGCCTCCCGAGGGCCTGGGCTGTTAGTCGCTGAATGCGGGGGGATGCTGATGGAAGCCCACACTGCTGTGCTCTTACTGAACGCCAAGCACAGGGTCAGTTGCTCTGCAGGGGTTATTTGCTCCTCGTGGGGCTCTGGTGAAGGGGTGCTATGATTGTCCAGCCGGGATTGGGAGATGGGGTGACAGGAGTGATAACTAACTCCAGCTGAGTGCTTATTCTCAGCCAGGCCTTGTTCTCAGTACTTTACTTTTATTACCTCATTTAGTCTTCGTGACAACCTGTTGTATAGATGAGTAAACTGAAGCACATGGGAGTTTGGTGACTTACCTAGGGATACCCAGCTACAGCCAGGATTTGAACCCAAGCAGTTCTGTCCTGAAGCCGATGTTCTTAACCAGCACAGTGCCCTGCCTCTCGAGGGGGTGGTGAGCTTCAAAGGCAAGGTCTAGTGCAAACCTTCCAGTTGTTGATCGATGGGTAGAAGAGTGAGCTGCTTAACACAAGAGGTGACGTTCTAATAGAGGCGCACACCAGAGCCCTGAGGAGCAGTGTGGGGTGGGAGAGGCATCGCAGGAAGGAGCTGGGAGTTGGGTTGAAGGATGAGTCAGAATTCACTCTGCAGGAAAGTGGGCTAGGTCTTCTCGACAGAGGGAGCAGCATGTTGGGAGGGTAGCTAGGGCACAGAGCGGGAGACCAGACTGCTCTCCCCAAGGCCTTTCAATATTGTTGGGGCCCTGTGTGCTGGTTTAGCTGGAGATGCACCTGAGAGCTCTCACCTAGATCTTGCCCATCCACAGGAAAGGATCTGAGTGAGTGGCTGGCTCGTGATGCCTACATTTCAGAGATAGCCTGATCGAATCTTTGGGAGGGGAGGTCTTTGCAGGGCCTCAGTGTCTTAGCTGGTATTGGCATTTCATCGACAGGTTGGCCCGTGCTGATGTAGCAGATGGATAGGCTCTTTAAAGAAGTTAGCATGCCCTTAGGAATTCCTGGGGCTTTGGGACCCGGACTTCCAGGAAGCAGGGCCAAGTGGTTTTCTGTCCTGGCTTTACGTAGTCTGGCATCTCATGTCCCCTTGCATTCTGAATTAACTTACTGGACTGAAAAATAAAGACAAAGAATGTATTAATCTGGTTAACACATATTTATAGAATGTGAGTTACTGGGTCATTGAGAGGATTTTGGTGATATTAATGGTTTGGGAGAGAAGACAATAACTTCCATTTTGGAGTTGGGCAGTGGGAAAACACCCAGCGAGTACATCCAGCAGGCGGTTTAAATTTCAAGACTGTAGTTCAAACTAGAGGTCAGGTCAATTTGTAAAACTTAATCAGTGTTTTCCAGATTAGGCTACTGCCACATCTTCAAAAGTAAAATAATTATCAGCAAACGTCTAGAATCTATATGTTCTGTAGATTATTATATAGGAAAAAGATGACAATACCTATGTGTTTGTGGGGAGTTTTGAGTGTAATGTCAATTAAACACATTACACATACAAGGGAACGGGGAAACACACCCGTAGCAAGTCCAGAGTCAATTGCACAAGTTCCCACTCCCTCTTTTTAATCTGCCTGACTTCTCCTCATCTTTCAAGTCTCGTCTGAACAGCAGTCTTTCCAGGAAGTTTTCCCTGACATCCAGGCTCGGGTAGATGTATCTGTGGTGTGCTGTCAAGTACCCAGGAATCCCAGCCGGTGGTGATTAACCCCTTAGGTCGACAGTGGAGTCTTACTTTCCAGGAACCAGCACTCTCAACAGTCCAGTCATCCTTTTCCTAACTGTCCATCTTTCTCTAGATAATTCTGAAATAATGTAATATCAATTTACAAAACATCTGAACACCTTGTAAACCAGTGGAATTGGTGATGCCACAGTGCAACTAATATTTATTGAGCATCAATTATATGCCAAGTCTTCTACTTACCAGCTGAATGACCTTGATCATGTATGTTAACCTCCTTGGTTTCCAGTGGGGATAATAACCACTACTCCACTGGGTTATTGTGAGGAGTAAGTGAGATAACTTGCATGTGGAAAGTGTCTGGCACATCCGAGGTGTTCAATGAACAACTGAGTAAATAAGTGGATGTGGTGTGGTTTCTAAATACCTTTCAAGGACACCAGCCTGATCTGTTCCTGTTTGTCAGCATCCTTCTTTAGGGACACTGAGAATAACTGTGATCTATTAGACGTGTTCTTTCTGGAGCGTGGCCAGTTCTGGAGGGACCACGCCGTGGCTGAGCACACCTCGGGCAGGAAGACAGGAACTTCTTTTGCATTCGTGGCACAGTTGGCATCATGTTCTTGCAGTTAGCGAGCCCCACAGATCTTTTTTCTTCAGTATGGCCCTCAGTCAAGCTCTCCATCTTCCACTGAAGTCTTGCGAGGTTGATTTCTGGGTCCTAAGAGCAGAACTTTATGTTTTAACTCTACCCTGAGGCGCTGTCATGCAGGAAGTGAATGTAATGGCTCTAGAATCATTTGGATCTAGAATTCTAGATCTTTTCCTAGTTTTTGACCATGAGCAAGTTACTTGATCTTTCTAAGCCTCAGTTACCTTATTCTGATGGAGGAAACTTAGCACAGAGAATGGGTTCATAAAAAGGGAGACGGTAAGGTAACCCAGAGATGGGAACAGCAGCAAGTCACTCCCACCTCCAGGACTGGAGGGACATCGGAGGAGGGGTATCGGCAGAGTCAGGGGGCTGGGCTCTCCAGTCAGAGCTGAGAACCACAGCAGGACCTTCTTGGTGGAGGGAGGGACCTGTCTTAAGGACCTCCTATTCGCCTCATTGGTGAGGAGGGATTCTCGCCTTAGGGTTATTGGGATGGCAGAACACTCGACACCTGACACTGGACAGATGGGAGGGACGGCAGTTTACTAGTCAGCATGCTCCCAGCCTGGGGAGGAGGACACTGTTTGCCATGCAGGGCCACTTGGGGGTTATGCCTGAAACCCCCAAGAGTTTGTGGGAGGCGGAATTTGTCGGATGGAGTGGGCAGGGTGCCCCCTGGTTCCCACAGGAAGATGTGGTTGGCTTGTTTGAATACTTCTGTAGGCTGGCAGGGAGCCAAAACCTGCCACTCAGGGATAAGCAGGAACTGCGCTGATCCCCGTGGCAAGGAGGGTTCTTTGGCTGGGGGACCTTATCCACGGATGCAGACTGAGGAGAGGAACTTGTGAGGAAGCCATTTGAGGCCCTCCTGGCTTCACCAGGTGTCGAGGCAGCACTTGAGATTGGGCCTTGATTTTAGGCCTTACCCCACACCCCCAATCTTTATTAAATTAGGGCTCGTCTGGCAGGAGCGGGAGCCGTGAGGTGACACAGCTGCTTCCAGATGGTGGCCCTCCCTCTGTCTCCTGCCTGGCGCCCTTCTTCCCTCAGTGCGTTTCACCTTTAGTTTTTACAGCGCTCTATGGACACTACTTAGTTTAATCTGTAAAACAGCCCTGTGCTGTGGGAGTTGTCATCCCCGTTTTACACATGAAGAAACCTTGGCTTAGAGGAATCATCCCTCTCCAGCCTGCTCCAATTAGTCAGTGACAAGAGGGCATCAAGCCCATGGCCATTTGACTCCAGGAGGCAAGGTCTTTTCAGGAGAGAGTGGGTTTGCGGGAGAGCCAAGGGACCTCCTCCTCTCCATGGGCCCTTCCCAAATCCTGCGCCCGGGTCAGCATTTCTGATTCCGCGTTCTTCTTCCTGAACAGGGTCTCTCCTGTTGGATATGCTTCTCCCACTGAATGTGGATCTGTTTCTCTCTAAGGTGATGTAGTATAGAAAATACTTACAGAGAAATTTAGTTTAGCTCTGATTCAATTTATAAGAGCAAAGAGTGCTGTGCTTTTGTCAGTGAGAAGAGGCTGCTCAGAGGGAGCAAAGAAGACCTGGCTCCAAGCTCATTGCTGCCCTGCTTCCTCTTTGTGCCTCACTCATAGATGCAGGTGATTGCCTCGCAACACCCCTGATTCTGGAATTTTCTTGGTACTTTCTTTGATCTCTCCCATTGTAAATGGTTTGCATTTTTCTTTGCCTTTGAAAATGCATCAGAATTTTCTAGATGGATTAGTAATTTCATATTGCCTCAGTCACATCATCATTACCACCATTATTATTGTCATTGTAGAAAAGTTGTATGGCGACTTCTTGAGCTGGAAACTAGAAGAAACTGTTGCCCAGTTTCCTTTGCAACCTGGAAAGGTGGCCACTTTCATCGTCAACATCAAAGTGAAGCTGGATTTCTCTTGCCAGGAGAATCTTCTCCAAGATCTCAGTGATGGTAAGCTCCTTCCCAATTTTAATTAGCACATTGTGGTCTCCAGATACATTGTAGCAATCACCGTTCCTCCAGGCCTGCTGTTCTGTCTCTGTAACTTGCTTGTCATTCATTAACTCAAGCAGCTGGAGACTTCTCCTGGGCACTTAGTTAACCCAGTGAGTTACTGTGTATATGGAAAGTAATAAAAGTACTTTTTAGTTAAATGATTTCTTAATTCACGCTCTTCACTATTTTGTGCTCATTTTCCAGGAGGTAATACTAAATTACTGGAATGTAGGTATTACTACATTTTTTCAAGTGTAACTGCTGTGATCCCTTAGACATTTTTTTTAGAGCAGTTTTATTATTTTTTAAAATTTCTTTTTATTGCAGTAACATTGGTTTATAACATTATATAAATTTGGGGTGTACATCATTATATTCCCATTTCTGTATAGATTATGTCATGTTTACCACCGAAGACTAATTACAATCTATTACCATACACATGTGCCTAATCACCCCTTTTGCCCTCCTCCGTCCCCTCTTCTCGAACTCTGGTAACCACCAATCCAATCTCTGTGTGTTTTTTTGTTCTTGTTTTTATCTTCTACTTATGAGTGAGATCATATGGTATTTGACTTTCTCCTTCTGACTTATTTCCCTTAGCTTAATACCCTCAAGGTCCCTCCATGTTGTCACAAATGGCAAAATTTCATCCTTCTTTATGGCTGAGTAGTGTTCCATTGTGTATATATACCACATCTTTGTTATCCATTCATCCCTTGATGGGCACCTGGGTTGCTTCCAAGTCTTGGCTATTGTGAATAATGCTGCAGTGAACATAGAGGTGCATATATCTTTACGCATTCATGTTTTCGTGTTCATTGGATAAATACCCAGTGTGGAATAGCTGGATCATATGATAGTTCTATTCTTAATTTTTTGAGGAAGCTCCATGCTGTTTTCCATAGTGGCTGGCACCAGTTTGCTCTCCCACTAGCAGTATAGCAGTATATGAGAGTTCTCTTCTCTCCACATCCTCTCCAACACTTGTTATTTCCATCTTGTTAATAATAGCCATTCTGGTGAGAGTGAGGAGATATCTCCTTGTAGGTTTTTTTTTTTTTAAGGAAGGTTAGCTCTGAGCTAACATCTGCTACCAATCCTCCTCATTTTTTTGCTGAGGAAGACTGGCCCTGAGCTCACATCTGTGCCCATCTTCCTCTACTTTATATGTGGGACACCTACCACAGCATGGCTTGCCAAGCGGTGCCATGTCCGCACCCAGGATCCAAACTGTCCAACCCTGGGCTGCCGAAGCGGAATGTGCGCACTTAACTGCTGCCCCACCGGGCTGGCCCCTCCTTGTAGTTTTTATTTGCAATTCCCTGATAATTAGCAATGTTGAACATCTTTTCATGTGCCTATTGGCCATCTGTATATCTTCTTTGGAGAAATGTCTGTTCAGATCTTTTGCCGTTTTTTAATTGGGTTGTTAGTTTTTTTGTTGTTGTTGAGATGTATGAGTTCTTTATATATCTTCAATATTAACCTTTCATCAGATACATGGTTTGCAAATATCTTCTCCCAGTTGTTAGGTTGTCTTTTCATTTTGTTGATGGTTTCCTTTGCTGTGCAGAAACTTTTTAGTTTGATGTAGTCACATTTGTTTATTTTAATTTTTTTCTATTGTTTTCCTTGCCCAGTCAGACATGGTACTTGAAAATATGCTGCTAAGACTGATGTTAAAGAGCATACTGCCTATGTTTTCTTCTAGAATTTTCGTGGTTTCAGGTCTTACATTCAAGTCTCTAACCCATTTTGTGTTAATTTTTGTATATGGTATAAGATAATGGTCTACTTTCATTCTTTTGCATGTAGCTGTCTAGTTTTCCCAACACCATTTATTGAAGAGACTTTCCTGTCTCCATTGTATGCTCTTGGCTCCCTCGTTGAAAATTAGCTGTCCATGAATGCGTGGGTTTATTTCTGGCTCTCAATTCTGTTCCATTGATCCGTGTGTCTGCTTTTGTGCCAGTACCTTGCTGTTTTGATTATTATAGCTTTGTAGTGCACATAGAATTCAGGGAGTGTGATACCTCCAACTTTGTTCTTTTTTCTCAGGATTCCTTTGGCTATTCGGGGTCTTTTGTTGTTCCATATAAATTTTAGGATTCTTTGTTCTATTTCTGTGAAAAATGTCATTGGAACTTTGATAGGGATTGCACTGAATCTGTATATTGCTTTAGGGGGTATACACATTTTAGCTATGTTAATTCTTCCAGTCCAAGAGCATGGAATATCTTTCCATCTTTTGGTGTCTTCTTCAATTTCTTTCAACAATGTTTTATAGTTTTAAGTGTACAGATCTTTCACCTCTTTGGTTAAATTTTATTCTTAGGTATTTTATTGTTTTTGTTGCAGTTGTAAATGAATTTGTATTCTTAATTTCTCTTTCTGCTATATCGTTGTTAGTTTACAGAAATGCAACTGATTTTTGCATGTTGATTTTGTATCCTGCAACTTTACTGTATTCATTTATTATTTCTAAAAGTTTTTTGGTGGATTCTTTAGGGTTTTCTATATATAAAATCATGTCATCTGCAAATAGTGACAGTTTTACTCCTTCTTTTCTAATTTGGATCCCTTTTATTTCTTTTTCCTGCTTGATTGCTCTGGGTGGAACTTCCAACACTATGTTAAATAAGAGTGGTGAAAGTGGGCATCCTTGTCTCGTTCCTGTTCTTAGAGGGATAGATTTCAGTTTTTCTCCATTGAGAGTGATATTAGCTGTGGGTTTGTCATATATGGCCTTTAATATGTTGAGGTACTTTCCTTCTATACCCATTTTATTCAGAGTATTTTTTTTAAATCATAAATGGATGCTCTATCTTTTCAAATGCTTTCTCTGCATCTATTGAGATGATCATATGATTTTTATTCTTCATCTTGTTAATGTGGTGTATCATGTTGATTGATTTGTGGATGTCGACCCATCCCTGCTTCCCTGGAATAAATCCCACTTGATCACAGTGTATCATTGTTTTAAATGTATTGTTGTATGTGATTTGCTAGGATTTTGTTGAGGATTTTTGCATCGATGTTCATCAGTGATATTGGCCTGTAATTTTCTTTTTTTGTGCTGTTCTTGTATGGTTTTGGTATCAGGGTAATGTTGGCCTCGTAGAATGAATTAGGAAGCTTCCCCTCCTCTTCAGTTTTTTGCAAGAGTTGGGGAAGGATAGGTATTAAGTCTTCTTTGCATGTTTGGTAGGATTCACCAAAGAAGCCATCTGGTCCTGGACTCTTATTTTTTGTGAGGTTTTTGATTACTGTTTTGATCTCCTTCCTGGTGATTGGTCTATTGAAATTCTCTATTTCTTCTTGATTTGGTTTTGGAAGGTTGTATGATTCTAAGAATATATCCATGTCTTCTAGATTATCCAATTTGTTGGTGTATAGTTTCTCGTCATATTCTCTTATAATCTTTTGTATTTCTGAGATGTCCATTGTAATTTCTTTTCTTCCATTTCTGATTTTATTTGAGCCTTCTCTCTTTTTTGCTTGGTTAGTCCTAGCTAAAGGTTTGTCAGTTTTGTTTATCTTTTCAGAGAACCAGGTAATCTTAGTTTCATTGATTTTTTTCTCCTGTTTTTTTTAGTCTCTATTTCATTTATTTCTGCTCTGAATTTTATTATTTCCTTCCTTCTACTGATTTTGCACTTTGTTTGTTCTTCTTTTTCCAGTTCCTTTAGTTGCAGTGTTAGATTGTTTGTTTGAGATTTTCTTGTTTTTGAGTTGGCCTATATTGCTATAAACTTCCCTCTTAGAACTGCTTTTGCTGTATCCAATAAATTTTGGGATGTTTTATTTTAATTTTCATCTCCAGGTATTTTTTTATTTCTCCTTTGATTTCTTCATTGACCCAATTGTTGTTCAGTAGCATTTAGTTTAATCTCCTCATATTTGTGGTCTTTCTGATTTTTTTCCTATAGGTGATTTCTGGTTTCATATCTTTGTGGTCAGAAAAGATGCTTGGTATTATTTCAGTCTTCTTAAATTTACTGTGACTTGTTTTGTGGCCTAATACATGATCTATCCTGGAGAATGTTCCATGTGCATTTGAAAAGTGTGTATTCTGCGATTTTTGCATGGTATGTTCTGTATATATCTACTAAGTCCATCTGGTCTAATGTGTCATTTATAGCCAGTGTTTCCTTATTGATGTTCTGTTTGTGTGATCTATCCAGTTGTGTAAGGGGAGTGTTAACCTCCCCTACTGTTATTGTGTTGCTGTCTATTTCTCCTTTTATGTCTGTTAATAATTGCTTTGTATATTTAGGTGCTCCTATGTTGGGTGCATAAATATTTACAAGTGTTATATCCTCCTGTTGGATTATTCCCTTTATCATTATGTAGTGCCCTTCTTTGTCTCTTGTTGCAGTTTTTGTTTTAAAGTCTATTTTGTCTGATATAAGTATTGCTACCCTAGCTTTCTTTTCATTGCCATTTGCAATGAAATTTGCAGTATCTTTTTCCATCCCTTCTCTTTCATTTTGTGAGTGTCTTTAAGGCTGAAATGTGTCTCTTGTATGCAACATATATATGGATCCATTAGACATCTAATTAGCTGTGATGATAAAGTTCTTCTTCAAAGTCTGGTGATTTCTATAAGGAGATGGAGCCTGGAGGAAATGGGAATTCATATTTGTTATAACATTAGAACTAGCTGATTAGGGATAAGATTTCATAGATTAATTATGTCTAATTATGAAGCATGCATTCACACATTCATTTGGAGGCATTGTGGAGTGTATTAGTTAGCTCAGGCTGCCAAAACAAAATGCCACAGTGTGGCTGTACAATAGAAATTTATTTTCTCACAGTTCTGGAGGCTGAAAGTCTGAGATCAAGGTGCCAGCGTGGTTGGGTTCTGGTGAGAGCCTCTTCTTGGCTTGCAGACAGCTGCCTTCTCGCTATGTCCTCACGTGGAAGAAGGAGAGAGCTCTGGTATCTCT